CCTTTTAAATTTAAACTCATGTGTGTATTTCTTTTAAATCTCTTAAAATGCATTTTTAAGCCCTACTGTTCATTTGTCCTACTGATGTTTGACTTTTTTTTCTTTTTTTTTTCTGTCTTTTTTTTTTTTTTTTTTTTTTTTTTTTTGGTGAGGAAGATCAGCCCTGAGCTAGCATCCCTGCTAATCCTCCTCTTTTTGCTGAGGAAGACTGGCTCTGAGCTAACATCTATTGCCAATCCTCCTCCTTTTTTTGTTCCCCAGTAGATAGTTGTATGTCATAGTTGCACAGCCTTCTAGTTGCTGTATGTGGGACGTGGCCTCAGCGTGGCTGGAGAAGCAGTATGTTGGTGCGCACCCAGGATCCAAACCCGGGCCGCCAGTCGTGGAGCACGCGCACTTAACTGCTAAGCCACGGGGCCGGCCCTGACTAGTTTTGCTTTGATGCAGTAATTCCATTCATTTATGGCTATGCATTTACTTTTTTTTTTTTTTTTTGTGAGGAAAATCAGCCCTGAGCTAACATCCATGCCAATCCTCCTCTTTTTGCTGAGGAGGACTGGCCCTGAGCTAACATCCGTGCCAATCTTCCTCCACTTTATGTGGGATGCCACCACACCATGGCCTGACAAGCAGTGCATCGGTGGGTGCCCGGCATCTGAACCCGGGCCGCCAGCAGCGGAGCACACGTACTTAACCACTATGCCACGGGGCCGGCCCCTATGCATTCACTTTTAATCAACATTTATTGACTTAAAAAAATTCATGCAACCTTCTTTTCTTGGTGGATGGGAGTTAAAGAAGTATGTACGCTCTTAAGAGACAGTCTAAAACAGGGTCTTGAACATGTCCATAAATAACTTCCAGAGAGTAGACTCAAGCATAAGACTTCTAATATAGTGCTTAGAAGAAAGAGCTGAAGACAGAAATATGGGAGAGAGTGCTGGGAGAAAAGGACATGCTTGTGTTTAGGAGGAAAGAGTACACAGAAATGATTCTGGATAAAAGAGGATAGTAAGTAAATTGTAGAAGATTTATGTGTCACGGAAAAGCAGGAGATCCATTTTCAAACAAGTTGGTGACATTCTTTTTTCTTTGGTGAGGAAGATTAGCCCTGAGCTAACATCTGTTGCCAATCCTCCTCTTTTTACTGAGGAAAACTGTCCCTGAGCTAACATCTGTGCCAATCTTCCTCCACTTTATATGTGGGACACCGCCACAGTATGGCTTGATGAGCGGTGCGTAGGTCAGTGCCCAGGATCTGAACCTGTGAACCCCAGGCCACTGAAGCAGAGCACGCAAACTTAACCACTATGCCACCGGGCCAGCCCCAGTAACATTCTTAATGTGGGCAAAAATTGGGTTGTAAGTAGCATAGACTGAGGGATTTTTTGTTTGCAATATGAGAAAAGATAAGGCTTTTTATTTTTTTAAATGTGCTTTTAAGTAATGGAAATACCATCCATTTTTAAAAGTGTTCTAGGGCCGGCCCCGTGGCTTGGCGGTTAAGTGCCCGCGCTCCACTGCTGGCGGCCCGGGTTCGGATCCCAGGCGAGCACCGACACACCGCTTCTCCGGCCATGCTGAGGCCGCGTCCCACATACAGCAACTAGAATGGATGTGCAACTGCGACATACAACTATCTACCGGGGCTTTGGGGGAAAAATAAATAAAATAAAATCTTTAAAAGTGTTCTAACTGTAGGATATAGATGATTTTATTTTAGTTTTTTTCACAGAACGTTACAAATGTATTTTTAAAATTTTTTACTTAATTATGGAAATTTTCAAATATGCACGAGGTTAGTGGAATGGACATCCCATGAATCCATTTCCTAGCTTCAGCAATTATCAGCATGTTTCTGATCTTATTTCATCTATCCGCATTGACTTCTGCACCCCCACCCTGAAGTATTTTAAAGAAAGTCCCAGATAGCATACATTTACCTACTATTAAACATATAGGTTGCTTTTCACAGTTTCTTCTATTTAAAATGACTACTCTGATGCATCTTTATTTAGATGGGTATTTTCATATTTGATTCTCAGATGTGAGAGTCCTTGGCCAAAAAGTTTAATCCTCTGAAGGCTCCTGATATTCTAGCACAGAAGTGCATGATCCAGTGAAGCCAACTTATCCAACTCAATTCTGACAAGTATTAATAGTTGGTTAGTTATTGAAAAGTAGTAGTTGAAAAGGTTGAAGTGAAAAAGTATGATATGCCATAACCATTTTATTTTAACTGAAAACATTTAATTATAGATTTTTTACCCATTTTCTGATGTCAGGACCAGGTGTTTTTTTTAAAAACAGGTTCCCTATTTGGAGTTCTGCCTTTTCTTTCACACGTACTAAACCCATGAGGCGTGAATTGTAATTTAAGCTTTCAGTTTTTTACATGAAGGGACAGCATAAACATTTTTGCAATCCAGTGTGAACAGAGAATCCTCTAGAGCTGTGTTGTCCTATATGGTAGCCACTGGCTACATGTGGCTATTTAAATCTAACTTTAAAGTAATTAAAATTAAGTCAAATAAATTCAGTTCTTCAGCTGCACTAGCCATATTTCATGTGCTCAATAGTCACGTGGCTACTGGCTACCATATTGGGCAGTGCAGATGCAGAACATTTCTATCATTTCAAAAAGTTCTGTTGCATTCCTGTCATTGTAGACCGTTCCTCTCCTATGCCCAAGTTTTTCAATGTTGATTTATCTCCATATAATTCAGTTTTAGTGATTGACCTGAATGAAGTCTTCCCAGAACATTCTACTTAATTTTTTGTGTTCAAAAACCTCTTTTTATTATGTAAGTCATGATATATAAAAAGGAATATATGTAAAATTTAAAGCATAACAACAAAAAAACCTGTGACTCTCCCATACAACTTAAGAACTAGAATACTTTATAGTGGCATTGCACCTAACTTGTGCTCGTTTTTTATTGTATTTTTCTGCCTCCCCAGTGTCCCCATAGCACCTAACCTGACTTTTTGTGTTTATTCTTCCTTTGATCTTTTTATATGATTTAATAATTTTATCATATATGTTAGTATCCCTAAGCAATGTATTTAGCTTTTTGTTATTGAACATTATGAAAATGATTTCATACTATATGGAGCATACTTTGATCTGATTTTTTTTCACTTGGTATTATATTTATAGGATTCATCCATGTCTCTGCATGTAGCTATGGTTCATTAACTTGCATTGTAATATATTTTCCCATTATGTGAATATATCACAATTTATATATCTGTTCCCTGGTTCAATGTAATTTGGGTTGTTTTGAACTAAATTGCTGTCAGTGTTCTTGAAAATCTCTATTGGTGCTCATGTAGTGGAATTTCTAGTTCATAGGGTATGTAAATGTTCAACTTTTCAAGATAATGCCAAATTATTTTTGAAAAGTAGTTGTACCATTTTGCTCTTCTAACACCAGAGTTTTCTTTGATGCATTTCCTCATTTGCACTTAGAACTTATAATCACACTTTAAAATTTGTGCCAATATAGTTGTCCAGAGTTAGCCAAACTCAAGGTTAAGGGCACAGTTCTCCAGACTGCCAAATTTGCCCAAGACTTCTGACACCAGCTGAAAGTTCACGGGGTCCACAGGGTCACCCTCATTTCAGATCACCTGGCTACAGATTTGGGTATCTTCATGGACTCCCTCAAATTTGATAATTCACCAGAACAACTCACAGAACTCAGGAAAACACTTATACTTATGATTAGTTTTATTATAGCATAAGAATACCAGCAAAAGGATTAGAACCAACCAATGGAAGAGACACAGAAGGCGGAATCTGGGAGAGTTCCAAATGAGAAGCTTCCATGTCCTCAATGATGTGTTGCCTTCCTGCCATGGATGTGTGACAATATGCATGGAGTATTGCCAACTCAGGATGTTCACTTGAGCTTCAGTGTCCAAAGTTTTTATTTAGGCTTCATTATGTAGGAATGATTGATTGAGTTATTGTCCATGTGGTTGAAGTCACCCTCCAGCTCCCTCTCCTTCTATGGAGCCTAATTCCACCTAGCCCAAACACCCAACCCTCTAATCATATACTTCATCTTTCTGGCACGGGCAGCCCCCCATTGGGAGTCACTGAGTTAGCATAAACTGTCAAGTGTGGTCCAAGGGGCCCACTGTGAGTCATGACAACATTCCTATCACTTGGAAAATTGCAAGGCTTTAGAGGTTACCTCCCAGGAGCCAGGACAAAGGCCAGACTTCTCTTTAGGGCAAGTTAATTCTTCACTACACACTAGTGAATGTAAAATTCTACATTTTCCTAGTTTTTATTAGGTTGAACATTTTTTGAAAAGTATATTTGCTATTTGTCCTTCCTTTTTTTTTCCTTTGTGAGGAACATTAG